TTTCTTGGATATCCAGAATTTTAGTGAAATGCTAAAAGATATTCAAAAGGGGCTGGAGAGATGGCTCAGTGGTTAAGAGCATTGCCTGCTCTTCCAAAGGTCCTGAGTTCAATTCCCGGCAACCACATCGTGGCTCACAACCATCTGTATTGAGGTCTGGTGCCCTTTTCTGGCCTGCAGATATACACACAGACAGAATATTGTATACGTAATAAATATTTAAAATAAATAAATAAAGCTCCCAACCTAAATTAAAAAAAAAAAGAAAGATATTCAAAAGTCTTTTGATCTTGTAACTGAGGCCTTATTTGGTGTGTTACTTCTCTGGTTACTGTGACAAAATATCAGACAGAAACTATTTAAAAGAGAAGAGATGGCTCAACGGGTAAGAGCACTGGCTGCTCAGCCAGAGGACTGGAGTTCAATTCCCAGCACTTCCATGGCGGTTCATAGCTGTTTATAACTGTTGTATTAGTCAGGGTCCTCTGGTGGAATAGAACTAATAGAATGAATGAATGAATGAATGTATCTACCTGTCATCTATCTGGGGTTTATTAGAATGGCTTACAGGCTATGGTCTAGCTAGACTCAAAATGGCTGTTTATCAATGAAAGGTCCAAGAGTCCAGTAATAGTTCAGTAATAGTTGAGTCTACAAGGCTGGATGTTTCAGCTGGTCTTCAGTATACACCAGAATTCCAAAGAAGTAAGCTCTAATGCTAGTGAAGGGATGAACTTCATCGAGAGCAAGCAGGCAAAGAGAGAACAAGCTTCCTTCCTCCATGTCCTTTAGGCTGCCGGCAGAAGGTGTGGCCCAGATTAATGGTGGATCTTCCCACCTCCAAAGATCTTGATTAAAAGTGGGTCTTCCCACTTCAAATGATTTAATTAAGGACAAAAATCCCTCACAACCCAGATGCTCAGGTTTTAGTTAGTTCCAGATGTGGTCAAGTTGACAACCAAGAACTGTCATCACTACCCATGAAATACATAAATAAATCTTTAAAAAAAGATTATCTTGGCTCACAATTCAGAGGGTAATCTTTCATGGCAGGGTAGGAATGGTGGCTGGATGAGCACTGTCCTTGTCAGGTGGCACTTGTCAATAGCTTGTTCACATCTCTGCAGATCCTGAAGTAGACACTAGGTCAGAACTGGGCTGTATAGCCTTCAAGTATTGTCTATGTATGCCAGCTAGGTCACATGTTCTAAAGTTCCCACAGCCTCCAAAAGCATGACCAGCTGGGGACCACATGCTAAGCACAATCCTGTAGGGATCGTTTTTTAAATTCATATTGTGTTTGGGGAGGGGGAATTAGCAGGTGTAGTTAAGGAGCTTGAGTTACTCAAATGGTCCTTAAATCCAGTAACCACTATACTTAAAAAATACCAAAGGGGCTGGAGAGTTGGCTCAACAGTTAAGAGTACTTGTTGCTCTTTCAGAGGACTCAGATGGTAAGATTTTTCAGCACCCAAACGGTGGCTTACAACCATGTGTAACTCCAGTGCAAAGAGTCTGACACCCTCTTCTGATCTCTGCAAGTGCATTGTATTCATGTGGTCTGCTGACATACATGTAGGCAAAACACTCATACACATAAAATAATAAATTTAAAAAATTAAAAAATACCCCAAAAGTAGAAAATGAATACCAGAGAAACAGAGCCACAGAGGAGAGGAGCCTGCGACCGGAGTGTGACATGGACAGGAAGCTTGAAGAGGCAGAAGGACCCTCCCAGAACCTTCGGAGGTGGTACAGACCTGTGGAGAGGCAGAAAGACCCTCCCAGAACCTTCGGAGGGGGTACAGACTTGTAGAGAGACAGAAGGACCTTCCCCAGAACCTTCGGAGGGGGTACAGACTTGTAGAGAGACAGAAGGACCTTCCCCAGAACCTTCGGAGGGGGTACAGACCTGGGACTCCTACATTTCACGATCCTGGCCTCAGAAGTACAGGAGAATAGGTGTCTGGAAGTTTTGTTGTTTTTAATTTTTTGAGATTGGGATCTTATTCCATAGCTAAGGCTGGCCTTGAATTTACACCTTTCCTCAGCCTCTGGAATGTAGTGAGTCCATGCACCATCACATTTAGTGATTGTTTCTGTTGTGTTGAGAGATGCCTGCTTGTAGCAGATTATGTGCCAAATACATAAAAATAATAAAGGGTTGGAGGAAAGCTGCTTGTTTGTTTCCCGGCTGCCCGGCAACTCAGACCTGAAACAATTACACAGAAACCATATTATTTAAATCACTGCTTGGCCCATTAGCTCTGACTTCTTATTGGCTGGCTAACTCTTAGATCATAATTTAACCCATTTCTAGTAATCTGTGTATCACCGCGTGCGTGGCTGTGGCTTATTGGCAAGATTCCAACCAGTATCTGTCTCCGGCGGGGCTACATGGCTTCTCTCTGCCTCTGCCTCCTTTCTTCTAGTATTTAGTTTAGTTTTCCCCACCTAGCTAAATTCTGCCTTGCTATAGGCTCAAGCCAGCTTTCTTTATTCATTAATGGTATTCACAGCATACAGAGGGGAATCCCACATCAATAAAATTATTATCATGTAGAATATTTAGCATCTTTGGACAGGAATCTGCATGGGTCTCTGTATATTAGCCCAGACATGTCTGTGATGGAGCAGGTGACAGCCATTATGTAGAGTGGCTATTGGCCAGCTGGGCTCAGAGATGTCATGCATTTTGGGTACCTGTCAGCTCACTAATGCGCTCTCTGGTCTGACTAGTTTTGCATAGCATAGGAGCCAGTGATGGCAATCCTCAGCAGCCTGAGACCTTTCTTCAGACTGCCCTCCTTATCCCAAGTGCTGTGGCATCTAGACCCCATGCTGTGCCTAAGTATGCTGGGGCGTGCTAGAGTCTGATGGGGTGATTTGAGACGTCCTGGATTTGAGATGTCAGGATGTGTTTGATGTGCATGTTAAGGTGTCTAATGTGTTAGGGATGCTGAGGTGTCCTGAGGTGAGCTGGGTTTTGTTGGTGTGAGCTAAGGTGGGTTATGATGATCCAGGTGTGTTCTTCTGGCACCCATCCTGCCTTGAAGCTGTGTCAGCAAACCTATGTACTGAAATGGCCTGGGCTGTTCCAATGTTCTAGAAAAGTTTCCCTGAGAGTGGGAAGTGTGAGGTTAGGCCAGCACTGTCTTTCACCTCAGCAGGGCTTCAACCTAGGTAGTATGACCAAGTGGTCCTGGCTTCTTCCAGATTGTTGCATGCAATATTCTCAAAGGGAGCTGAAGTTAGGCACTGAGGAAAACAGGCTGACGACCTTGCTACTTGGTGTCCCGGGAGGGGACACAGTCCCTTGGTGGAGTAGCAGCTTCCTTATCTATGAACCAAGGATGATTTTAGTGCCGTCCCTTGGCTGGTCACCTTTGGGACTTGATAAACACCACGATGCTGGCATCTGTCCTCAGTATCACTAATGTGGCCCCTTGTGCAGGCCTGTGAGCCATCCCCTGCAATCTGACCTGTAGGAGGGTTTGAAGTACTTTTTGGTTTTATGTGAATTCATCAACTCAATGAACATTACTCTGAAAGGGCACAGACTTTCAATCCCTGAAGGCAGTGAGTAATTAATCAAATACGGCTGAGCTGTGTGGCACAGCATATGTAATTTAATCAGCCACAGGGCTTGGGAAACACAAGGTGACCATGGTGATTTGAGAAGGCCACCCTGGGTCCAGAGTCGGGATGAGGACTGTTCTGGGCAGAGTTCCTCTTAAGCACAGGTGCCTGCCAGATGTGTGTGTGTGTGTGTGTGTGTGTGTGTGTGTGTGTGTATAGGGGTGGGGGTGCCAGATGCCTGCCTGCTGTGATTCAGGTCACAAGCCCCCTGTCCTCAAGAAACCTGGAGGAGGGAATTAAAGGCCTGTAGCTGGTTATGTGGCAGGTAAGGACATTCTTTTGAGTTGATCCTGGCCCTGGGTCTCTGAGCCTATACAGGACTGGACTTACTGGGTCACAGCCTGTGGAGGCCTGGCCTGACACCTGGTGTCCCCAGCATCCAGCCCCAGGAATATCCAGTGTCTCTCTGATGTATTCCTGTTTAGGTCTTATTCCAAATGCTTTCAGAACTACTTTTCCACCTCAAGCAGCAACCTTTTTGACTTTTTGTTGTTTCAGGGTGCCTATGGATTACAGGCATCTGCCATTGCAGATGGGAGTCATCCCGTCAAGTCCTAGACAAGTAAACATGTATTTTCTCTTTGCTGGGCCTGGCCTCCAACATGCTGGGAAGTGCTCCCCAGAGTCACACCCCCCTGTAGAACAGCCTTGCACGAATGAATATGGATGTAGCACCAACGTGCGCCTGCCTCCCAGTCACACTACAGGTCCAGAACTGAGACCCCTGAGGGCTTGGACTTGCCCAAGGACACATTACTAACCCGAAAAAGATAGAAAGAGCTGGGCGTGGTGACGCACTCCGTGAGTTCGAGGCCAGCCTGGTCAACCTACTGAGTTCCAGTACAGTCCGAGCAACATCGTGAGACCTTGTTTCAAAAAAATCAAAGAAAGGTAGGGAAAGGAAGGAAGGCGGCCACAGCGAGCCTTGGAGTTACTGAGGGACCACTCGCAGCCTCAGGTCGCTGCTGCCAGCCTTTGCCACCCCGCCAAGACCCGGAGGTCAATGTCATACCCTGTGCGCGCCGGCGCACGCAAGGGGGCGGTGCTCGTGCCGGGGGCGGGGTCAGCGGCGGCGCACATTGCTCGCGGGAGGGAAGTGAGAGACATGGGGGGGGGGGGGGGGGGCGGAAAGTCAAGAGGCCACGCCCACAACCAGCCGGGCGTCGTCGTCGCTCCGCCCCGCGGCGCGGCTGAGAATCTGCTGCTTGCGGCAGTCGCTTTCTTGCGCTGGTGCGCGAACGGGCGGCCGAGGGCTCGCGGCGGCGGTAGCGGCGCGGCGGCCAATGAGGACGGCCGGAGGGGGCGGGGCGTCGGCTGCGGTTTTGTTCCGAGGTGGCTGAGGCGCGTCGTCCCCATGCGCGGAGCGCAGCCTGCGCGGCTGGCGCCCCGCCTCACTCAGGGAGCCGGGCGCTCGCCGGCCTCGCGGAGAGTGCTCCCGGCCGTCGTCGTCCTGCGCACCGCCACAAAGTCCGGCTGCGGGGACGCCGTGTCCTTGTGCTGTCTATCAGTCCGGAGTCCCCGCACGTCGGCCGGCACCGCGCAGCCGCACGTCGAGAGCCCGGTGCATCGCCGCAGCGCGCGGAACACCACCCCCTCGGGCCGGCAGGCGGCTCAGCGCCTTAAGGTCCCCGCGCGCCCCGGGCCCAGCGCGGTCCTCGTGTCCCGCGGTCGGGACACCCCAAGGTCCCCGGGGACCCAGCTCTCCAAAGTCGTCGCTCGTCTCGGGACCCCTCCGAGCAGGCCAGGCCCCAAGCACTCCTGTTGTGCGCGCTCCTGCACGCCGGGCGGTAAGGCCTGCCCGCTGCGCCTGGGGCGCGCTGCCACTTGTTGAATCACTTCTCGTGTCGATATGGAGACCTGTTGTCGCCATGCTGAGCCTGTGGGCCCTTGGACTCAGTGATTGTTTTTCTGTACTCAGGAAGCAGGAAGTTTGACGAGATAGGATGGTCCCTTAAGGGAATCAATCCTAAGAGCAGATACTTCCCAAGGACCCGTGGAAGGTGACTTGGAAGTGTATTCCGAAGGGAGTGTAAGCCCCTTTCAGACTTCCTTTGAGTGGAGGATCGAATGTGAGGTGTAGACAGTGTATGTTGCCACTCCTTATTGGCTACTAACTTTGTAGGTTGGGTTTTATTTTTCCTTAGTTTTAAGTAGGGATCTGAAATACATCACTTCAACTTAAATTCACGGTTGAATTTTTTTGCACTTAAGAGTATTTCATTATTGGATATATCTTTAAGTATGGACTTAAACTTCCATAATTTTATTTTTCTTTCTGGCGTTGAGACTTCTATCCCTAGGCCTGGCAAACCTATGCCTCCAGCCCATTACTTAGTGTATAATAATGTCTCGACTCTGAGAATTTTAAAGATGGATTAGTTTGACTTTAGAGGTTTTTTGTTTTGTTTTTGTTTTTTCTCCCGAGACAGGGTTTCTCTGTATCTCTGACTGTCCTGGATCTCACTCTGTAGACCAGGCTGGCCTCTAACTCAGAGATCCGCCTGCCTCTGCCTCCTGAGTGCATGCGCCAGCTTAGTTTTTGCATTAAGAAATGTGACTGATCCTTTTTCAAATACATTTTAGTAACCTTGTGTTTTTCTGATGGAAGTGGGTCTTTAAAGAGAGGTTCAGTATCTCATTCAGAAGCTAGGAGTGAGGATGGTTTTCTTTTGAAATCCTGAATATTACTCAATAGTGGAAATTGAAATTGTCTAGAAATTGGATTTTCTTTCCATGGATTTGGTTAGCAGAGACCTGTATGTGGAAGTCCTTTCAGACTCTTTCCTGGGTCTGGCACCTAGTTCACTCCTTAACTCCTCTGTGACTATTGGACATAGCAAGCCTGGTCCCTTCCCATGGCTTGATTAATGATTCTGCTAACTGTCCCTGGAACTTAGATCCTTCTGGTATAGGAGCTTGTGGCTTGAACTGAAGCCATACTAATTTACATGGCCTTTTAGTTTTTCTTCACTGAGGTTGAATTTGACAATCATTGTAGAGACAGTTTTAGTTGCTACTCTGAAACAGAGAAAACGTCAAACAATTTTTTTAAAATTAAAACATCGATTTCAGCTGGGCGGTGGTGGCGCACGCCTTTAATCCCAGCACTCAGGAGGCAGAGGCAGGCGGATCTCTGTGAGTTCGAGACCAGCCTGGTCTACAAGAGCTAGTTCCAGGACAGGCTCCAAAACCACAGAGAAACCCTGTCTCAAAAGCAAAAAACAAAAACAAAAACATCAATTTCATTTGTATAGGTTAGCATTTTGCCTGATTGTGTGTCTGAATCACATACATCCTTGGTGCCCTTGGAGGTGAGAAGAGGGTGTTGGTCCCAAGAAACCGGAGTTACTGGTGGTTGTGGGGACACTGTGTTGTTGTTAGGGATTAACACAGGTCCTCTGCAAGAGCAGCCAGTGCTCTGAACCACTCAGTTATTATTGTCCCTCCAGCCCAAACAATCCCCTGCCCCCCTGACAGGGTTCCTCTGTGTAGCCTAGGCTGTGCTGTCCTGCCTCTGCCTTCTCCAGAATGCTGGGATTAAAGGCCTGCGCTGCCCGACTTTTTTAAGTAGGCGCACTTCTAGCTGCAGAGATTCTGTGAATACACACGTGCACTCAGGGACCAGGAATATCAAGGAGCTCCAGTCCGAGAGAAAGAACATGATGTTACTGGTAGAGACAAGACTCAAGAAATCCTTAGGTAGCACTCGGGAGGCAGAGGCAGGTGGATCTCTGTGAGTTCGAGGCCAGCCTGGTCTACAAGAGCTAGTGCCAGGACAGGCTCCAAAGCTACAGAGAAACCCTGTCTCGGAAAAACTCAAAAAAAAAAAAAAAAAAAAAGAAATCCTTAGGTATTTTACCTTGGTGCTTTGGAAACAGTGGGGAAAATTTTCTTTTATTTAAGAAAAACTTTATTTTAGCTTTTGAGACAAGTTCTCACTGTGCGACTCAGGCTAGCGGCCAGCTTGTGATCCTCCAGCCTCCATCTTCTGTGTGCTGGAATTACAGGCATGTATCAGTATATTTAGCTCAAAAACATTTTTATGACGTAATGAACACCTTTATTTTATATGCTTACTTGAAAAATTAGTAATAACGAAGCTCGGTGTGAGCTTAAAATTAGCAATAATGAAAGAAATTATATAAACTCCTATATAGTCTACAATGACATTTCTCAAAGGAAGATTAACTTATATAGTAGAGTTCCAGGTACTTTAACTCCTTTAGGCCTTGCTAATGGGTAGTTAATCTCCCCCCCCTCCCCCAAGACAGTGTTTCTCTGTGTCCCTGGCTATCCTGGAACTCACTCTGTAGACCAGGCTGGCCTTAAACTCAGAGATCTGCCTGCCTCTGCCTCCTGAGTGCTGGGTTTAAAGGCGAGTACTGGAGTTAAAGGCCATCTGCCTGGGTGTTGGGCTGAGTAATTCATTCTTATTTTCAAGGGTTGGGGTTGAGGGCTGGAGAGGTGGCTCAGTGGTTAAGAGCATTGCCTACTCCTCCAAAGGTCCTGAGTTCAATTCCCAGCAACCACATGGTGGCTCACAACCATCTGTAATGAGGTCTGGTGCCCTCTTCTGGCCTGCAGGGATACACACAGACAGAACATTGTATACATAATAAATAAATAAATAAATATTTTTTAAAAAAAGGGGTTAGGGTTGAGCTAGTGAGTAGGCTGTCAGGAGTCTCAATCTGCACATTCCACCCAGCTGATCAGAGCTCACCTGATGCCTTTTATCTGCAAGGAAGAGCTCAGGTACTGTCTTCTTCCATGTAGTGCTCTCCAGCCTGGACTCACCAGTAGTGATCATTTCTGATGATTTCCTTTTTTAAATTTATGGTTCTTTTTATTGGATTGCAAAGGTGACATTACCCATGAATGGATTCTGTGTGCTTGAAAAAGTAGGTGTGGTTGTGTCTGCCTATAATCTAATACTTGAGAGGTTGAGTCTAGCCAGGGCTATATAAAGAGAATGACTAGAATCAAAAAGTACCTTTATTTCCTGGTGGAGGTGGCACAGGCCTTTAATTCCAGTACTCTGCAGGCAGGAGCTGGTGAATCTTTGTGAGTTCAAGGACAGCCTGGTCTACAGAGTGAGTTCCAGAACAGTCAGGGCTACATCTTTGTTTTTTCAAGACAGGGTTTCTTTGTAGTTTTGGAGCCTGTCCTGGAACTAGCTCTTGTAGACCAGGATGGCCTTGAACTCACAGAGATCGGCCTGCCTCTGCCTCCCACGTCCTGGGAGTAAAGGTTTGCATCATCACTGCCTGGCTCAGGGACGCATCTTTTGATGTCTCATTTTAGAAAAAGATTTATCTATTTTATTTATTTATTTATTTATTCATCTTTTTTTTAATCTATTTTATTTTTATATTCATGAGTGTTTTGCCTGCATGTATGTATGTGCACCACATGTGTGCTTGGTGCCTGTGGAAGACAGAAGGGGAGGCTGGGTCCTCTGGAATTGGAGTTGTGGATGGTTGTGAGCCACCATCTGGGTGCTGGAAATTGAACTTCTTTGCAAGAGCAACAGATACTCTTTAAGTGGTGAGCCATATCTCTAGCCCAGATGCCAAGCGTTTTGAGTTTTTTTTTTTTTTTTAAACAACAACTTTATTTTATGCACATTGGTATAATGATGTCAGATTCTCTTGAACTGGAGCTGCGAGGTGCCATGTGGGTGCTGGGAACTGAACCCGGGTCCTCTGGAGGAGCAGTCAGTGCTCTTAACCACTGAGCCATCTCACCAGCCCCGCGTTTTGAGTTTTGACTAATGTGTAGTGATAGCATTTTTCATTTTAATGCTAAGCAGAGTGTTTCAATACCCTAAGGCTCTTTGCTCCAGTTCATCCCATCCCTCCCTCTCTCAGCCACTGGTCACCGCTTACCCTTTTTACTGTCTCTATAGTTTTGCCTTTTTGTCATACGTTTGGCATTCTTTTCATATTGGCTTCTTTCACTTAGAAATGAGGTGTAAGTTTCTTCCTTGTATTTCCTGGTTTGATACCTCACTTTTAAAAGGCTTATTTTTAATTATGTGTATTGTGTGTGTTTGATTATGTACAAGTGTTGTAAGTCCAAGTGCTGGAGGAGTCCAGAAGAGGGTGTTGGATCACCTGGAGCTGGAATAGAGGTGGGTGTGAGCCATACAATGTGGGTGCTGGCAGCTGAACTTAGGTTATCTGCAAGAAGATGTATACTGCATGCTGGCTAGTTCTGTGTCAGCTTGACCCAGTGAAAGCGAGACCCTCACTTGAGAAAATGCCTCTCCTAGATTGCTTATGGGCAATCCTGTTGGGCATTTTCTTGGTTGATGATTAATATGAGCAGTGCCACCCTTGGGCTGGTGGTCCTGGGTGCTATAAAAAAGCTGATTTAAGACTGGATATTGTGGCACACGCCTTTAATCCTAGCACTGGGGAGGCAGAGGCAGGTGGATCTTTGTGAGTTTGAAGCCAGCCTGGTCTACAGAATGAGTTCCAGGACAGCCAAAGATACACAGAGAAACCCTGTCTGGAAAAACCAAAAAGCAAACAAACAAACAAAAAAACCCCCAAAAAACCTCAAGCAAGTTTTGACCATATGAAGAGACAGAAAAAATGGATCTCTACACCAGAAAGGAGGCGAATGGAAGCCCTCGCAGACACCACACCTGTCATTGACATGTTCTTTGATTCCCTAGTCTTTAGAATGTGAGAAATAAGATTCTGTTTTTTTTTAATAAATACTGTTTTTTTTTAATTAATTTATTTATTTAGTATACAATATTCTGTCTGTGTGTATGCCT